GGGGGGGGGCGGTTCAATCCAAAGAAAAGCCAGTTAAGTATATGGGTTATCCAGTGAATATTTATTCATTAGAGTATCTTTGCCAGAAAAAAAATTAATCATAGGAAAAATATGTATAAAGCCCTGATTTCCAGAAAGTGGGGAAGGTTCCAATACCTGTTCTTACCAGCCCCGGCTGTGGACGGTCCCTGCTGTGGACGGTCCCTGCTGTGGACGGTCCCGGCTGTGGACGGTCCCGGCTGTGGACAATCCCACTGTGGACGGTCCTGCTGTGGACNGACGGTCCCACTGTGGACAGTCCCTGCTGTGGACGGTCCCGGCTGTGGACAATCCCACTGTGGACGGTCCCACTGTGGACGGTCCCTGCTGTGGATGGTCCCGCTGTGGACAGCTGTAATAGACACCGTGGGCAGCTGAAACGCCAGCAAGCAGCGTGGGTGAGGTGGGTGCGGTGGGGGGTGAGAGGAAACTGCGTGGGTGCTCCAGGGAGAGTCGCTGTCTGAAATTTGCATTTTCATGTTTTCCTGTTTCTTCGCAGAAACCCGGGATGGATGTGGCCGATGCCTATGTGACTTTCGTCCGCCACTCTCAGGATGTCCTTCGTGATAAGGTCAATGAGGAGATGTATATAGAAAGGTTATTTGATGTAAGTAAATGCCTTCTCCTCCTTGCAGACCAAGGAGGAGACCCTCCAAAATGTGACAAAATAAGAGACAGGAGGATAAGTCACATTTTGAGAACACGGATTGGTCCCGATTCAAACAAAATCTTCCCCTCCCCTCCGCCTTAGGCTCTTATCTGTCGTGCGTGTGTCTTGAGCCCACTGTGGCGTGGCCGTGTCTCAGCCCCAACCTGTGTGCTCCGCGGGGGCCAGCAGGCCGGGTCCTGCGTGTCGCTCGCGAGGCAGCTTCCTCTGGCTGGCAGACCTTTCCCGGTCATGGTTCTCCTCCTTGCAATCTGGCCTTGCTTTACGGAGACATTCTCCTCTGGAGGCTGAGCCAGCCCTCCCTCCCGGGGGTGCTTCCTCCCTGACACCAGCTGTGACACGCAGGATGTGCCTAAATGTGGCATTGTTATCGCTTCCAAAAGGATTCCGTTTCTGGGAGACCAGGGATTCTTACTCAGCCCTGGGTTCTGGCAAACACTTAGGCTGGAGTGGCTCTGTTGGTCGCCAGTCTAAACCAAGGTGCCCCCTGCCACCCACCCACTTGAACGTTTGGGGAAAGGAGCAAGTGCCCAAAGAGCACGGACATCAGGCTGCCGACCAGGCTGGGCCGCGGGGACCCCGAGTTCCAACATTAGCAGTTCCCGGGCCAGCTCGTCCCCACCGCGGCCGCATCTGCACTCCCAAAGCTGGCCACTGAGCAAAAGGAGTCTGCTCGGTCTCAGATCGCTCACCTCTTTCAGGCCAAAGCAGACAGCGCTGTCTAACTTAGCCAGATATTTTGCTTCAACTTTCCACCAAATTTGCCTGTGTAGACCCGGCCAGAGTGCAGGGAAGCTGACGTGCTTGTCTCCGTGTGGCTCTAACTGTGCAGCCCACTCCTGTCTCGTGAAGCGTGAGCTCCTCCTGTCCAGGTGTCTGTATTTTTAGTGCCAGCCCGAGCATTGATGTTTTGGTCTACTGTGGAATCCGTGTTTCTCTATTTTTCCTGTGATTGTGTTCAGCAGTTTACACTGAGTTTGTGTGTGTGTGTGTTTTTGTTCTGCAGCTCAGTGAGCTCATTGTTGGCAGCGCTCGGGGTATTGCAGCTTCTGACTTTTATATGCTTGTCTTCCAGCTCATTTGCTTTCCTCGTGTGTCGAAAAGGCTCCTTTCCTTTTTTTCTTTCCCGATCAACCCCTCTTTGTGCTCAATATCGCTCCTTCCTCTGCATCACCTTTCTTGGAGAAACCGTCTTACTTTTTAATTCCCACCTGTCCCCTCTCAGATGAAAATGGAACTTATCTCTCATGTCAAATGTTTTATCACATTATATCAAGTGGCATGAATTAGAATCAAATAATCTTCCTGTGTACATCTTCTAGCATGACCCACACCCACTGAGAATGCCTCATACATGCATAAAGCACCCGGCGGTCCGCTCCCTTGTCTGCATGCGTGCCTTTATGAAAGTCCCGAGCCTAGAATGTCCGGGGGACAGTCACCCATCCGATAGGCATTGAAAACAGAGACAGGCAGCACTCTCGGGCCTGCAATTAGGAGCCTGGACTCTCTGCCCATCTCCTTTGAATTAAATTCNGCTGTGGACGGTCCCGGCTGTGGACGGTCCCGGCTGTGGACGGTCCCGGCTGTGGACGGTCCCACTGTGGACAGTCCCTGCTGTGGACGGTCCCGGCTGTGGACAATCCCACTGTGGACGGTCCCACTGTGGACGGTCCCTGCTGTGGATGGTCCCGCTGTGGACAGCTGTAATAGACACCGTGGGCAGCTGAAACGCCAGCAAGCAGCGTGGGTGAGGTGGGTGCGGTGGGGGGTGAGAGGAAACTGCGTGGGTGCTCCAGGGAGAGTCGCTGTCTGAAATTTGCATTTTCATGTTTTCCTGTTTCTTCGCAGAAACCCGGGATGGATGTGGCCGATGCCTATGTGACTTTCGTCCGCCACTCTCAGGATGTCCTTCGTGATAAGGTCAATGAGGAGATGTATATAGAAAGGTTATTTGATGTAAGTAAATGCCTTCTCCTCCTTGCAGACCAAGGAGGAGACCCTCCAAAATGTGACAAAATAAGAGACAGGAGGATAAGTCACATTTTGAGAACACGGATTGGTCCCGATTCAAACAAAATCTTCCCCTCCCCTCCGCCTTAGGCTCTTATCTGTCGTGCGTGTGTCTTGAGCCCACTGTGGCGTGGCCGTGTCTCAGCCCCAACCTGTGTGCTCCGCGGGGGCCAGCAGGCCGGGTCCTGCGTGTCGCTCGCGAGGCAGCTTCCTCTGGCTGGCAGACCTTTCCCGGTCATGGTTCTCCTCCTTGCAATCTGGCCTTGCTTTACGGAGACATTCTCCTCTGGAGGCTGAGCCAGCCCTCCCTCCCGGGGGTGCTTCCTCCCTGACACCAGCTGTGACACGCAGGATGTGCCTAAATGTGGCATTGTTATCGCTTCCAAAAGGATTCCGTTTCTGGGAGACCAGGGATTCTTACTCAGCCCTGGGTTCTGGCAAACACTTAGGCTGGAGTGGCTCTGTTGGTCGCCAGTCTAAACCAAGGTGCCCCCTGCCACCCACCCACTTGAACGTTTGGGGAAAGGAGCAAGTGCCCAAAGAGCACGGACATCAGGCTGCCGACCAGGCTGGGCCGCGGGGACCCCGAGTTCCAACATTAGCAGTTCCCGGGCCAGCTCGTCCCCACCGCGGCCGCATCTGCACTCCCAAAGCTGGCCACTGAGCAAAAGGAGTCTGCTCGGTCTCAGATCGCTCACCTCTTTCAGGCCAAAGCAGACAGCGCTGTCTAACTTAGCCAGATATTTTGCTTCAACTTTCCACCAAATTTGCCTGTGTAGACCCGGCCAGAGTGCAGGGAAGCTGACGTGCTTGTCTCCGTGTGGCTCTAACTGTGCAGCCCACTCCTGTCTCGTGAAGCGTGAGCTCCTCCTGTCCAGGTGTCTGTATTTTTAGTGCCAGCCCGAGCATTGATGTTTTGGTCTACTGTGGAATCCGTGTTTCTCTATTTTTCCTGTGATTGTGTTCAGCAGTTTACACTGAGTTTGTGTGTGTGTGTGTTTTTGTTCTGCAGCTCAGTGAGCTCATTGTTGGCAGCGCTCGGGGTATTGCAGCTTCTGACTTTTATATGCTTGTCTTCCAGCTCATTTGCTTTCCTCGTGTGTCGAAAAGGCTCCTTTCCTTTTTTTCTTTCCCGATCAACCCCTCTTTGTGCTCAATATCGCTCCTTCCTCTGCATCACCTTTCTTGGAGAAACCGTCTTACTTTTTAATTCCCACCTGTCCCCTCTCAGATGAAAATGGAACTTATCTCTCATGTCAAATGTTTTATCACATTATATCAAGTGGCATGAATTAGAATCAAATAATCTTCCTGTGTACATCTTCTAGCATGACCCACACCCACTGAGAATGCCTCATACATGCATAAAGCACCCGGCGGTCCGCTCCCTTGTCTGCATGCGTGCCTTTATGAAAGTCCCGAGCCTAGAATGTCCGGGGGACAGTCACCCATCCGATAGGCATTGAAAACAGAGACAGGCAGCACTCTCGGGCCTGCAATTAGGAGCCTGGACTCTCTGCCCATCTCCTTTGAATTAAATTCCAAACCACAAATTTCCAAGAAGCTTGTGGATTGTTCTTTTCAATGCCTAGGTTGCGTTTTTTCCCCTTTGAGCGGTACCTTCTGATTCTCAGTTTTGTGTGGCCTTGGCGTGCGTGCGCGCGTGCGTGTTCCGTGTGAGCGGGTGTGCGAGTAGCCTCACGCTCCCTAAAACTCGAAAACATCTAGTACTGAATTTGATGTTTAATCTGGAGTTTCGCCTGCTGCTCTATGAACAAATAACCCATGCCTCTGTCTTTCTTTTTTTAATTAGAAGTACCGGGGGAATTTTTTTAAGGTAGCCTTCTCGGAGGCAGCCAGGCAAACTGGCCTCTTCTGTGACCTTTTTAAAGGGAAAGAGCCGCTGAATTATCGGAAAAGCAGGAGTCCCGCCTTGGCTAGCCCAGATGGTAAGAGGAGACCTGTCCCACAGTCGGAGAACACAGGCAAACTCAAGCCCTCTGGGCCCTTAATGTGAATGGATAATGGGGAAAAAAAATTACTAATATGTTTTTCAGAAGGCAAATCATGCTTAGGGCAATTCAAAAATTCACAACTATGTTGGTCCCTTGTTGAATTATACTGACCCGCATAAAATGGCATCAGAAGCACGGTGAGAACCCCTACAATTTAGTCTCACATTGTCCCAGTCATGTTTTCCCAAGGGGGTCCTAGTTCCAGGGCCCCGAGGATCCGATGTTCAAGGCTTCACCGTTACAGTCACTCACTGAGCATTCCTTCCGCTCCCCTGCAAAAACATTTTTCAGTAGCTTGTTTAGAGACGACAATTTTTTTTTGCCATTTACTTCCTTATTTTTCAAATAACCTTTTCCCCTAATTTACAGAATATCGGTGCTAGGCAACCTAACTGATGAAGCGCAACAAAAGTTATTGAATCTGTCACAGATCTGAAACATTTGTCGTTTGAAAAACCCAGAGCTTCTCAAAAAGCTTCATTACCATGCCGTCTCAGTAATTTAATTCAGTACTTACTGTTTTTCTATAATCTAGCAGCAAAACATCAGATTACCAACATGTCTGATTATTTTCGGCTTCTGTTTCCTCAAGCATGGTGTTTATTTCTTTGCATATATGCGCTTGCAAGGCCCTCGTGTCCACCAAGCTAAACAAGGGAACGGGAATGGGAAAGCAGAGGGGTCTGGGAAACCTGTCCCCCTAAACTTCTTGCAGCAATGAATTGTTCTTTCAACTGCATTTCCTAATGATAGGGGTCCTGGGGCAGGTTTCTAAACAATTGGCAGAAATCTATGGAGAAAAGCATTGATCTGAGAGGTTTCTCTTCCAAATTGTTGCATTTTGATAAATGGCAAAAATGAATAATAGAAAATTAGCATTTTGAATGAGGGGGGCAAATCTATATCTCTGAG